AAAAAATTCAGATTTATTGCCAAAACTCCAAAAATTTCTCATGGCTCTCAGCCCACCCTGTTTATCCCAGTTATCCCAATTAAGACTTGGCAGCTGGGACTCATTTAGAATAACTGGGACCCACTGAGCCAATATACAGAATTCTCACTACATTTCCACCTTTTTCTATTAGTAACAGATATATTCAAATGCAATCCAGATATTGTATTTGCAGAACTGCTGCGTGTTCCTCCATCACGTCGGGGTCACCACTTGTTGCATTCTTATTGTTATTATCGTATTTTATTGTTATTATCGTATTTCTGAAATCCCATACTGTTATTATTATATTCTTTAAGTCCCATACTGTTATTATTATATTCCTAAAGTCCACACCTTCTCACTGGATTTCTACCATGCTCTGCAGCTCCTCATGGTTTCTCAGGGGCTCCTCCAGGGCTCTCAGCCCACCCCTTTTATCCCAGTTATCCCAATTAAGATTTGGCAGCTGGGACTCATTTAGAACAGCTGGGACCCACTGAGCCAATGCCCAGGACTTTTACTACATTTCCACCTTTTTCTATTAATAACAGATACATTCAAATACAATCCAGATATTGTATTTGCAGAACTGGTGCGTGTTCCTCCATCACGTCGGGGTCACCACTTGTTGCATTCTTATTGTTATTACTGTATTTTATTGTTATTATCGTATTTTACTGTTATTATCGTATTTCTGGAGTCCCATACTGTTGTTATTATATTCCATTTATTTGTTATATATTCTTAAAGTCCACACCTTCTCACTGGTTTTTTACCATGCCATGTACAGCTCCTCATGGTTTCACAAGAGCTCCTCCAGTTTATCCAGTTTACCCCTTTTATCCCAGTTATCCCAATTAAGACTTGGCAGCTGGGACTCATTTAGAACAGCCAGGACCCATTTACCCAATATACAGAATTCTCACTGCATTTCCACCTTTTTCTATTAGTAACAGATATATTCAAATGCAATCCAGATATTGTATTTAAAGAACTGCTGCGTGTTCCTCCATCACGTCGGGGTCACCACTTGTTGCATTCTTATTGTTATTATCGTATTTTATTGTTATTATCGTATTTCTGGAGTCCCATACTGTTGTTATTATATTCTTAAAGTCCCATACTGTTATTATTATATTCCTAAAGTCCATAGTTTTCTACCATGCAGTTCTTCTCTCTAGCACAGCTCCTCATGGTTTCACAGGGGCTCCTCCAGGGCTCTCAGCAAACCCCTTTTATCCCAGTTATCCCAACTAAGACTTGGCAGCTGGGACCCATTTGGAATAACTGGGACCCACTTATCCAATATACAGAATTCTCACTACATTTCCACCTTTTTCTATTAGTAACAGATATATTCAAATACAATCCAGATATTGTATTTGCAGAACTGCTGCGNGAGGAATGCACAGGCCCAGGCCGAAGGGAGAGCCAGGGAGTCTTCAACAGTTTATTAGAAAGAATGCAGACATTAAAAAAATCCCAGCTGCTCTGAACAGAAATTGAGGTTTTTCAGCCCGGTTCCACGGTCCTGTCACTTGCTGCCAAACCCACAGTGCAAATACGATTTTGGTCTAAAATGTACAGATTGACAAGCAACAATGTACAGCCAACTCGCACCCCGGGCGAGGAGGAGGAGGAGGAAGAGGTGGAGAAAGGTTTGGGGGGGTCACACCACGGGATCAAGGGGTTCCAACACCAAAAACCAAGAAAATTTTGGAAGTTTTTTGTTTTTAAAATGAACTTTTTGTTGTTAATAGGAACAGAAGGGGATGTGCCTCGCCCTGCTGGATTTTATTTTTTGTTTTTTTGGGGGAGCCAATGATAAAAGAATTTTTAAATTTTGTGGTTTTGTTCCCAGGATAAATGGACAAAAAAAGGGAAAAAAACTCATTTAAACCTCTCAGTGTTAATTCAAAGTTCTCCTATTGTAATTGGAGGCTCTGTAAACTTTATTGCAACTCTTCTCAATGGATTACCTACACCTCAATTGGGTTGGTTTGATGGTTTTTTAATCTTTTTTTTTGGAAGTTTGGAAAACTTTTCATGCATAACTGTTATTGCCTCTCGTGGCTTTGAGACCGCCCCGTGCCATGGGACAAACCTACCATCAGTGAAAGCCATTTAAAATGGACTGAAAATGGGTTAAAGGATGCAGGATCTCCCTTTAGGGCTCATCAACTCAGGAATTCTTATCTCAATTATGAAATGTTGTGATGAACTTCTTTCCCCAAAACCCTGAAGACGACGCTTTGCCTTACTCCAGATCTGGCATTTCTAGAAATGAAAAAAAAAAAAGGAAAATTAATGGTTTTAGGGTTGTTTTGTGGGTTTTAATTTGTTGCTTGGTTGGTTTTTAAAAGCTCTCAGGGCATTTTTATGTCACTGGCCTCCAATCAATTTTGGGGAATAATAATAAATTAAATAATAAATAAATTAAAGAAAATACTAAGATGGGATATCACGATACATTCATTAAGTAAATTTAAAAATAATAATTTTATAATCATTTTCTAATAATAAATCATGGAATATTAGGAGGAATTAAATAAAATAATAATACAATTATTATTTTATATACATGATAATGTATATAAAATATGTATTTAATTCATGTATTAATAATACATGAATTAAAAAGAAATAAATTAAAGGAAATATCAAGATGCTGCTCCTAAAGCCAAAGCCTGGCAAGGTCAAACTGGGATTTGGGGCATTCCCAGATTAGATTTGTCTGGCTTTAGCTGGTGCACAGGATGAAGAACATCAGCAGGTGTGTGAGGAGAAAATAACAAAAAACAACAAAAAACACAACAACAACTTACTTTCATCATCACTGTCTGGTGAGTCCTGGAAAGGAGAAGAAACAATCTTGAAGTGGAGCAGACAGCTCTCATCCCACCAGCAAAGATTCCCAAATCTGCTCCCAAATCTCTGCCCAAATCTGTTCCCAAATCTGTTCCTAAATCTGCTCCCAAATCTCTGCCCAAATCTGTTCCCAAATCTGTTCCCAAATCTGTTCCTAAATCTGTTCCCAAATCTCTGCTCCCAAATCTGTTCCTAAATTTACTCCCAAATCTGCTCCCAAATCTGTTCCTAAATCTGCTCCCAAATCTCTGTTCCCAAATCTCTGTTCCCAAATCTCTGTTCCCAAATCTCTGTTCCCAAATCTCTGTTCCCAAATCTCTGCTCCCAAATATATTCCTAAATCTGCTCCCAAATCTCTGTTCCCAAATCTATTCCTAAATCTGTTCCCAAATCTCTGCTCCCAAATCTGTTCCCAAATCTGCTCCCAAATCTCTGTTCCCAAATATATTCCTAAATCTGTTCCCAAATCTGCTCCCAAATCTCAGCTCCCAAATCTATTCCTAAATCTGCTCCCAAATCTCTGCTCCCAAATCTGTTCCCAAATCTGCTCCCAAATCTCTGTTCCCAAATCTCTGCTCCCAAATCTGTTCCTAAATTTACTCCCAAATCTGCTCCCAAATCTATTCCTAAATCTGTTCCCAAATCTCTGCTCCCAAATCTATTCCTAAATCTGTTCCCAAATCTGTTCCTAAATCTGCTCCCAAATCTCTGCTCCCAAATCTATTCCTAAATCTGCTCCCAAATCTCTTCCTAAATCTGTTCCCAAATCTCTGCTCCCAAATATATTCCTAAATCTACTCCCAAATCTGCTCCCAAATCTCTGCTCCCAAATCTGTTCCTAAATCTGTTCCCAAATCTCTGCTCCCAAATCTGTTCCCCCAAATCTGAATTTCGAGGGATTTACTGAGCTCAGTTTGGCCTCACTGCACAGAGAAGAGGGAAAGGGTCTCCCCAGCTGGCATCACAAATTTTGGGGTTATTTTTGCCTTTTTTGGTGGTGTCACCACCCCAAACATACTCACATCATCTGCCCCATCTACTTCTGGCAAATCTACGTCGTCGTCTCCTCCCATGTTGTTCATCATCTGCTCAGAGACACAAAAAACACATTTTGGGGTGAAACCAACCCCAATTCCACCTTAAACAATCCTAAATCATCATCCCCCCCTTATTTTAACAGATCATTTCCCCCCCATGCAGGAATTACAAANACCCCGGGCTGTGCCTGCAGCAGAGAGAGGAGGGGGCTCCTCCCCTCTTGGAGACCCCACAGGACAAAGGGGAGCCCCCAGGGCTGGGGGTCCCTGCAGCGGAGCAGAACCCCCCCATGGAGATCCGGGGCTCCCAGGACTGGGGGGGACCCACCCAGCAGCCCCCCAAGAGCAGGAGCCACAGCACACAAAGCCTGCAAACGTTTTCAGCAATGTTTTATTGGAAATGTTAAATACTGGGAGTCCGGCCCCAGCGGAGCCGGGGATGTTGTGGGGGTGTTCAGGGGGGCTCAGGCGTGTTCCTCTGCCAGCTTCTCTGCCTTGGCCACCGCCTCCTCGATGGGCCCCACCATGTAGAAGGCCTGCTCAGGCAGGTGGTCATATTCACCTGGGGCGATAAAACGTGTCAGGAGGGGAGTGGGAGGCTCAACCAAGCTCCCCCAGACCCCTCTGAGGGCCACCTCACCTGCCAGGATCTGCTTGAAGCCCTTGATGGTCTCTTTGAGCGGCACCAACTTGCCCATGTGGCCGGTGAAGACCTCGGCCACCTGGAAGGGCTGGGACAGGAAGCGCTGGATCTTCCGGGCTCGGGCCACCGTCAGTTTGTCCTCCTCGGACAACTCATCCATGCCCAGGATGGCGATGATGTCCTGCAGTGACTTGTAGTCCTGGGGACAGGGGGACACCCAGGGGGTGAGCGGGCAGAGGTGATCCCCCCACCCAAAACCCCCACCTGAGGAAGGGGCTGCCCCCTCACCTGAAGGATTTTCTGCACACCCCGAGCCACGTCGTAATGCTCAGGCCCCACGATGTTGGGGTCCATGATACGGGAGGTGGAATCCAGGGGGTCCACGGCGGGGTAAATGCCCAGCTCGGCGATGGCACGGGACAACACCGTGGTGGCATCCAAGTGGGCAAAGGTGGTGGCGGGTGCAGGGTCAGTCAAGTCGTCGGCTGGCACGTAAATAGCCTGGGGACACAGAGGGGAGGGGACAGTTGGTCTCGTGTAGGTGGCACAGCTCCCTGGGATGCTGAGGGAGGTCCTGCCCTCACCTGCACGGAGGTGATGGAGCCCTTGCGTGTGGTGGTGATTCTCTCCTGCATGGTGCCCATGTCAGTGGCCAGCGTGGGCTGGTAGCCCACAGCCGAGGGGATTCTGCCCAGCAGGGCTGACACCTGTGAGGGGACAGAGTGTGAGGGACACAGCACGGGGGGCTGGGCAGGTGGGGGACAGGTGAAATGTCCCACGGCCAGCACAGACCTCGGAGCCAGCCTGGGTGAAGCGGAAGATGTTGTCGATGAAGAGCAGCACGTCCTGACCCTCCTGGTCCCTGAAGTACTCGGCCACCGTCAGCCCTGTCAGGGCCACCCTGGCACGGGCGCCCGGGGGCTCGTTCATCTGCCCGTACACCAGGGCGACCTGCGGGTAGGACAACGGGGTCAGCACGGTGGCACTGCCACACCTGGCACCAGAAGCTCCCCTGCTGACCCTCCCTCAGGGTCTCTGCACACCTTTGAAGTGGCATCTTTGAGGTTGATGACCCCAGACTCGATCATCTCGTGGTACAAGTCGTTGCCCTCGCGGGTTCTCTCGCCCACCCCGGCGAACACCGAGTAACCACCGTGGGCCTTGGCCACGTTGTTGATCAGCTCCATGATCAGCACAGTCTTGCCCACACCAGCACCTCCAAACAATCCTGGGAGAAGGGGAAATAAAGGCTCTGCTGAGCCCTGAGCCAGCCTGGCTGCCCACAGGGTCTCCCTTCAGCTCTTTCCTCCTCAGATATAAAAAGCGTTGCTTCAGCAAGCTCAGGAGAACGAAAGTCATGGGGTGAATCATCAGTGAAGGAAAAATTCCCCAGAGGAACTGCTGGAAATCCCAGAGGGACCATCCCCAGACCCAACCCCTGCTCTGGGGGGTCACGTACCAATCTTGCCACCCTTGGCATAGGGAGCCAGCAGATCCACGACCTTGATCCCTGTCACCAGGATCTCCTGTTCCACGCTCATCTCCACAAACTCAGGGGCCTCGGCGTGGATAGCAGCAAACCTGCAGCAGGAAGAGGAGAAGAAGGGGGTGGGCAGCTGCTCTGAGCCCCCCCAGCTCGGGGGGCTGGCAGGGGACAGTCCCTGCTGTGACCCAGAGCAGCCAGAGCCACCTCCGTGCTCAGCCCTGGGTGCCCTCCAGCCCCTCAGCACTCACTGTTTGGTGGTGATGGGGCCCCTCTCATCGATGGGCTCCCCAATGACATTCATGATCCTGCCCAGGGTCTCAGGGCCCACGGGGATGCGGATGGGAGCACCAGAGTCCAGAACTTTCTGTCCTCTCACCAGCCCTTCCGTACCGTCCATGGCAATGGTGCGCACGGTGTTCTCCCCTGCCGAGGCCCAAGGACAGCACAGTCACCACAGCGTCCTCAGGCTGACCCTGGGGACAGCTGCTGGTGGCTTCCCCAGGCCCTGCCAAGGGGACATTGTGCTGGGAAAAGAACCAAGGGGAGCAGCAGGAATAAAATAGCACTGAGGAAAACTGAGCCGTGCAGCCCTCGGGCAGCCATTTTCCTCCTCAGATTGAAATCCTTGGCTTCAGCAAGCTCAGGAGAACGAAAGTCATTGACAACATCATCACAGGAGGAACCCCCCGCCCTCCCATATCCCCAGCTGCTCACCCAGGTGCTGAGCGACCTCCAGCACCAGC